AGGTTAATAACAAATCCTAATGACTTTTTCGGGCCCATCTGCTGAGGGACGTTGACCTCAAATGGAAGCCACCCGACTGCCTGTCCCCTCGGAGGCAGAATACAGGAGCCTTTGTGAGGCTCTGGATAGAAAGAAATAGAATAAGGACACAGAGGAACCTACCACTGGGGGAAAAAAAAACAGAATAAAAACAAAACCGGCACATACAAATTTCCCCAGGCAAATGTTTAATTCCAGACTTAATATGTTCAAAAGCCCTGTGGATACCCCCTGGGTGCCTGTCACTCACAAAGGCCCCTTCGCACTCTCTGGAGAAGCACTCAGCAGGGGTGTTTGTATAGCCTGGCATCTCTGGCCACAGCTGATTTGATGAGGGGTGGGGACTCAGGGTGACCTGGACCAATCAGGGTTCCTTCCCTGGGAATTTGGAATTAGGACTAAGAAGAGCTGTAAAGCTGGTGAGGGGTAGCAGGAGTGTATTTTCTAAGATGGGGGGTGAGAAGCAGAACTTTCATGAGGCTGGGCTGCGTTCTTGCCCTTGGATCCCTTGAGATGTCTCTGAATCCTTATATTAAATCCCCGCTTTTGCCTAATGGGATAGAGTTTCCAAAAATGGCCACCACTAACAGCCTCCTTCCCTGGATGCATGTTTCCACAAGGAGATGGGATCTGCTTCTCCTCTCCAACAGAATGCAGTGGGGTGATGCCCTGCCTGACTCTTAAGATCCTGGCTCTTAAGAATCCTGGTGACTTCCATCTTTGCTCTCTTGGGATCCAGCTATCATGGAAAGGAGCTCAGACTAGACTACTGAATAGGGAAGGATTCCACGGAGAGAGAGGGGCTGCATAGAATGCCCTGAGGCACCGATAGGGAATCGGAGCTTTCCAGGCCCTTCCAGTCCAGCCCAGCTGCCAGCTGAATGCAGCTGAGTGCAGCTGAGTGAGTGACTCCAGCTCATGCCACACGGAGCAGAAAATCCACCCAGCAGAGCCCTGCCTGAACTCTTAACCCACAAAATCACTGAAAATAGTATTCTGTTGGTGTTTGTCGCCAGTAAGATTTGGGTGGTTGTTATGCAGCAGTAGAGAACTGAAACAACCTGGCTGGAATTAATTTCCCTTCGTGCCAGCTAAGTGTGCTAACTAGTACGGGTGGTCTATAGCAGTCAGGGCATGCGTGATAAACTCTGAGATCCCAGCTAGCCTTGAATAAGGAATGTGAGGCAAAATGAGGCTCTTTAATGTGTTTCCCTTCTGGCCACCATCTCTGTCTCCAGGGATGCGGAAGACAGCAGAGCTGGGTTGTGGGCCGAGTGGTGAGGGAAGGTTTAGACACCCTCCTGCACAGAAGCAAAGAGGCTCCAAGGTGAGAACCGGCTCTGGTCTGCTGCCTCGTCTGGAGGTCTCCAGGGGGCGGCTAACTCCAGCAAAACTGCCCCAGGGAGGCAGCACCTGCTGGGAGACCTGAGGGTGATTCTCCCCCTGGAACTCTCAGAGCCACAGGATCACAGAGACTGTCTGGCAGCTTTGAAGATACAAACAGGTTAATAAGATCTGGAAGGAATCATGGGGCCAAAACAGAAGGGATTCTAGCTTCCAGCTCCCCAAATGTCCCCTCCAAACCTGAGCTCTAAAAATTTCTATGTTTTGCAGAGTCTAAGAATTTGAGGACAGGCCTTCAGGAAACGCACGCAATAGTTAAGAGCATAATCCTGAGAGTCAGCCAGACTGGGACATATATCTGGGCTCTGTGTGACCTTGGACAAGTGAGCTAACCTCTCTAAGGCTCAGTTTCCTCACCTGCATAATGGGGATAATGATAGCACCAACTGAGACAGGGTTGAGAGGAGCAGTTTGTGAGTTAAATCCACATGAAGTTTTTAGGTGCAGTATTGGGCACATAGTAACTGCTCAATCAATAGAAGGTACCCATTGTAATGATGGTTTATTATGTAAACAAGGATTTCACCTGCCTCCCAGACGACTTAACTCAGGTAATAGAAAATAAAATCCAGCCTTACAGAGCTAGTGTCTGGATCCAGAAGGGGATGCAGATACATCTGCAATTTTAAAAGATAGAAGGAGCTCATTTGCTCTGAGCAGTGCCACCAACAACGTGGTACGGGGTCCTCCACCAGACACCCCCAAATACTGTCGAGTCAGATCAGGAAGGATCCTGAGGCTCAGTCTGCCCTGCCTCGTTGGATGGGTAGGGAAACTGAAGCCCCCAAGGCTCATTAACTGAGCCTCAGGCTGTGGAGTGGGACCCTGTGGCACCCCGTTTTCAGCCTCGCTCTGTGTCTGATGTGTTCTCTCCTTTCATCTGACTCCACTCTGATCCTCTCCAGGCGAAGCATGGGTAGAACAGGAATGAGGGCAGGTTCGAGCTCCTAAAACACAAACAGCACAGGGTTTGCCTCCGGGGATGCTACCAGTGAGGGCTGGCAGCTGGGAGGGTCCAGGAAGCAGCCGCAGCCAGAATCCTCCAGGATGTCCTCCCTACTCCGGCAGAAAACCTACTGTCTCAGCAAAGCGACACTCTGTCACTAAGGGCTTGGCCCCAGCTTCCTGGGAAGGCTCTCAAATCTCCTTCCAGGGAAGCCAGGGGCTTGCCAAACAGGAGTCTCAGACATAATTCTATAACAGAGGCCTTGGCCAGTGTAAAAACCTGAAGTTCTGCAGCAAATTCATCATTAAATGATCGTCACCATCAACAGAGCATGTACTCTGTGCCAGGCACTACGATAATCCTCTGCAGGCTAATTAAGCACTCACTGGAAGTGTGTGCTAATGTTATCTCCATTTTGCAGATGAGGAAACTGAGGCATGGGGTGGTAAAGTGGCTTACCTGAGGTCACAGAGGGAGTTAAGTGGAGGAGCTGGAATGTGAACCCAGGTCTCTCTGACTCTGGGGCCCCAGGGAGGCCACTGTGCTTTTGCACCACATCACAGGCAAGACATGGGGGACAAGGTAGGGGACTCATGGTCTAGAATGTTCAAACTAGAATCTGCTCAGTCCACAGAGACTCCCCTTAACTTTACACCCAAAGGCAGCCCAGTGGCCACGTTAAGGCAACGTGGTTGGCACCTCTGCCCACAGCTGACTGACAAGGGGTAGAATCTGATATAAACAGAAGCCAGCTGATCAGAGTGACTTCTCTGGGAATTTGGACTCTTAACTATAAAATTCTAAACTCTCCAGCATCTTGGCCATAGGAGATGGAGAAAGAAATGTGTGTGTGTTCGGGGGGAGATGGACAACATTGTCTATCATGTTTACTCATTCACTCAACAAATATTTTACTGCACACCTACTATGCCCTAGGTCTGGGGATTCAGTGGTGAACAAAATAGGGAAGAATCTCTACCCTCAGGAATCTTATAATCTAACAGGTGGAGAGATACAATAATCTAAATGTATAAAATACGAAATGTTAGCAGGGGGAAGTGCTATGCAGGGAAAAGGTTGACAGGAGTTCTTGCTTCGAAGCAAGGATTTAGCATCCATATCCTCCCTTCCCGCAAGGCTGAGGCCCATTGTTGGTCGAAGTGAACACACACACTCACACACCTCTAGCCTGGACAACTCCTCACTCCTGATTTGCTTTAAAAAGCAAAATCAAAACTCAACCCTATAAGTAGACCCCTCCAGACCTAAGCCTTTAGCAACCCCCGAGGAAGCTGGCAGAGGGTCGAGCACGAAGCTGACTCAGCCTGAGACAGGTTATTTGTCACTTGTCACCAGCACCTCTGATCTCCCCAGTCCACCCGGAATCAAATTATCTGCAGAGGCTTAAATCAAAGGCACCCACTTCCTGTGTGTTCATAACATCATTTTCCATCCAAGAACCTTGTTAACCCCCAGCTGAGTGTGTGGGTAGGGAGATAAAAGGGCCCCCCAGTGCCCACATCAGCTATAAGCAATTGGTAAAGGCTGCCTCCCGGCAGCAGGATCTGGGGAGGAGGCTGGAGGAGGAGGAGGGGGCACCCCCTTCTCATTTCCCATTCAAGATTCAGTCCTGGAGGACCACTCAGTGGCCTCCTGCCTCCTGGCAATGGAAGTTTCCACCTATGCCAAGACTCCCTTCTCCTTACACACATTCGCCCTCCTCTTCTCCCAGGCCCCCCCCACCTCTTTCCCCGACTCCGATGATCTCCCACATCCCCCTCCCCGCTGCTTCCCAAGCCCACCTACATACCCCTTCCTCCCCCTCTCACACCGTCCCGGCTCACTGATGTGTCCCTCTCTGACACACACACACATCACATCCTTCTCACATCCCGTGTCTCTCTCCCATACGTGTTTTTGTATCTCTGCCCTCCGAACCCCACTTTTCCCCTTCTTCCTACCATGCGTTAAAACACAAAGCATGACCAGGCCTGGGCCAGGAACCACACATGCTTCATTACACTCACTCCTTACGACCATCCTGTGGGCTGCTCACTGCTATTTCCGCCACGCTGTGGGAGAGCAAACTGAGGCTCAGAGACGTGAAGCAACGTGCCCGGGATCCACGGCCGGCAAGTGGGGAGCTGGGATGGAGCCCTGGGCTCTTCATGTCCAGACCCACCAGGCTAACCTCTGCTGCCTCACACGCAGGCTCCCTTCAGGATGGATATCTCTAATTCTCTCAAATAATTCCTTTCAGACGTGCTCTCTCTTTGACATAGTGTCTCTTTGACGCATCCTTTCTCCTCCTTATCGCCAATCTCCCATCCCCCTATCAGGAGATTCCCCCTCCCCACCAGCCAAGAACCCACCTCCCCCTCCAGCCCGCAGTCCAGTCTCTCCTTTATTCTCTTTCCCCTAGCCCAGCTCTCCCAGCTCATGCAACAGGGATTCCAGTTCTGCCCGGGTGGGTGGCTCAGCATATCACAGATCACAGATGACAAGCCCCAAAGGCAGCTCGTGCTGCCCGACCCCAGCACACCCTGCCTGGGCAGCATGGCCCCCTGGCCCTTGGTGGCTCTCAGAACGGTTGGGAAGCAACAGGTCTCACCCGATTCGCTCCTGCTCCATCTCTTCCATCTTCTCGGCACGAGCAATCACCCTGTTGATGATTTCCTTCTCCTCATCGGTCAGCTCTTCCTGCTTCCTCTGTCGGTCGGGCTGACCACTGGGATGGACAGACCATCCCATCTGAAGCCTGAAAGGTAATTTGGGAAGGCGTGAGGCTGGAGAGGGAGTCGGCAGTGTGGAGTAGTGGTTAGGCTCTAGTCCCTGGAGTCTGGTAAACGTCACCTCAAATCCCTGCTGGGAGACTCTGAGCAAAAAATATCCATCTCTCAGAGCCTCAGTTTGCTCCTCTGTACAATGGGACACACACATCTCCCTCCTAGGGTTCTGATGAGTTCATTTCTTAAAAGTGCTCAGCACATGGCAGGCACTCTGGAAGTGGCATTTGCAGGAAGTTCATGGAAACCTGGAGGATAATGGTGTTCTCAGGAAAAGAAGCTTCTACAGCTGAAGTGGAAACACTTCTGGGAGGGTGGCCTGAAGCCCTGGATCCTGGTTGACCCCAGCCCCCTCCTGGCACAAATAAGTTTGGTTTGGGCCACAGAGTTTTAAAAAATTACGAGTGGGCAGTGTGCCTGAGGATGTGAAGGAAGATCTATATGCTAGCCAGCCTACAAGATGGTCCCCAAGGATCTCTGCCTCCTGGTATTCACACCTTCCCTATGTTGTCCCCTTGTATACTGAATCCCAGCTGGCCCTATGTGACCAGCTAAATACAATGGCAGTGACAGCAGGTGACTTCCAAGGCTAAGTCACAAAACATATTGCAACTACTGCCTTGGTCTCTTGGGTCATTCACTTGAGAGGAAATCAGCCGTCATGTCATGAGGACTCTCAAACAGCCCTGTGTGGAGACGAACTGAGGCCTCCAGCCAACAGCCAGCACCAGCTTGCCCCTCCATTCATTTCCTGCCTTACAAAGCAGCTCAGTGAGAGCACCGGTGAGATACTGGGCCTCATACCCAGTGGAGACCCTTTCAAGGGCACCTTCCCACAACTCACAGTCTGGTCAGGGGTACAGTCAGCCACGGGTCAGACCTGAAGCCAATGCCTCGCACCCCACCTCACAACTCGCTGGGGTCAGCACACACAGGAAGTGTACGACTCCAGAAACATACGCAGGAGTGGGGGTTCCCCAAGAGGCCCTCCTAGGATAACTGCCTCCATCTGCAGATGAGCAGAAGGCCTGCTGGAGGCTGCCAGCCTCTCTCCAGACCCCGCCCCCTCCCTCTGCTCCAAAACACACTGTTGACAAACACCTCATCCAGTGTTTGAAAATGTCACCAACTGATCTCAGTGGGGACTCGCAAGCCTCCTGTGGATTTTCATGTTTTAATTTCAAAAGCAAACAGAGGGAAATGAGATGGTTTTTCATACCAAAGCCTTTGCTCTCAAGGGAGAGCATGGCCCATCTGGGCCTCTTCTGGGCTGGGGAGCGCTGTGAGCATGGAGACTCTGAGGGTGCTCCCATGACAGGGCAGTGGCGCCCTTGCCTCTGGGCACAGGATTCCAGCTCCACGTCCTTAAGACCAGAGTCCAGTGTTGGGATCTTATTAAAGTATTGGACAAGTTACTCAGAGAACCATGTCAAATCCGGCAAATGCCCAGAGGGCCTACTGTGCGCCAGCGTGAGCCTTCCTTGACCGGGTGGAGTTCAAGTTTGGAATCTTGTGTCTGTCGCTTATTAGCAGTGTGCACGGGGGCTCAGAACCACTCTGACTGTCAGTTTCCAGATCTGATAAGTGGGAACGATGTCATGCCTGTTCCTGCTGGGACCCTCAGAAGCTACTCCTGACCCCCAGTGGCTGCATGAGGACAGACTCC